TTCAGTTAGCCGTTATCGAGTAATTATAACTATTATTGTTATAACTTTGGACACAGTAATTAACAATAATATCCGTGATCTAAGCATGACAACTGAAAGACATTATCAAATAGGAGTAAGAAAGATTCAGTTCTGTGCAGTCTATAAGAAACCACCTAGGAGTCTCATGTCAAGTCAACTGTAGGAAAACACTTTAGAAGGGGGCTCATTACCTGGGATGGGGGGGGTTTCATGATGTGAAAGGAACAATTCAAAAAACGTACGGAATTTTAAAGAGGAGGTTCTTACAAATGAGATTCAAGGTTCTGGAGAGAGCTCAGTGGTTACGTGCACTTGTAGAAGACTGGAGTTCTGTTCCCAGCACATAACCAGGTGGTTCATAACTGTCTGCAATTTCAGCTCCAGGGGATTCAGACGTCCCCTTCTTGCCTCCATGGGTACCCCCCACACATGTATACACACAGACACAAACACATATACTTAAATAAAAAATAAATCTAAAAATAAATGAGACCTAATTACAATTACTGTCCTAGTTTGCTTTCTGTTGCTTTCATAAACTCCATGACCAAAAGCAGCTTGGGAAATAAAGGGTTCATTTCAGCTCACAGTCCATCATGAAAAGAAGTCAAAGCAAGAACTCAAGACAGGAACCTGTAGGCAGGAACTGAAGCAGAGACCATGGATGAATGTGCTTACTATGTGCTTACTGGTTTGCTTCCCATAGTTTTCTTGGATTGCTTTCTTATAAAACTCAGGACTACTGGCCCATGGGTGGCATAACCCAACATTAGGCTGGGCCCCTGACATCAATCATAAATCAAGAAAATGTCCTACAGACTTGCCCACTGACCAATGTGATGGAGGCAATTCCTAACTGAGGTTCCTTCCCCCCAAGTTTGTGTCAAGTTAAGAAAAATTAATTAACATACTCTCTTACAAGAAATCTCTATCACAAGACAAAGATTATCCTGAAGAATCCAGACATGGTGGTACACACCTGCAATCCCAGAGACACAGAACTGCCTCAAGCTTAGACTGCAGAGTAAGTTTCAGGCCAACTAGGGTTGCATAGTGAGACCTTGTATCTAAACAAAAGGGTCTGAGGGCCGCTCAGTTCTGTGTAAAGTTCTCGCTAAGCAAGCATGAGGACCTGAGTGTAGATCCTCAGCACACATGGGAGTCAGACATGACAGCAAATGTCCATAACTCCATCTCCGGGAGCATTCAACACAGGAGGATGGAACCCTGGAGCTCACCAGCCAGTCAGTCTAGGTGAATTAATAAACTTCAGGTTCAGTGAGAGACCCTATTACAAAACCAAAACCAAACAAAGCCAAAGAGCAAACAAAGTGCAGAGAAATGGGAAAGACACAGATCTTTGAATGCATGGTGGAACAAGTGAATACAAAGTCATTAGTGACCACAGACAATACTTCCTAAGTGGGACTTGACATAAACACAACATTCTATCCTCAAGGTTATATGAAATAACCACAGTTGCTTGTAAAATGTATACATTCCCATTAGAAAGCATACTTTAGAGAATGTTAGTGCCATAGTTGACGAAAATAAAAATCAAGACACTTTCTAAAACTACTCGGCCTTAAGTCACAATTCCTAAATTATTTAAATGTCAGTAGTTTAGTCTGAACTTGATTTCAATATCTTATACCTTACCTTGACCTATGTATATCCAAGTAAAATTTTCTGTACTTTGTACAGTGTGGGTGGTTTGAATGGGAAATGTCCCTCATAGGAAGAACACATGGTCCCTGGTTAGCGGTGCTACATGGGTGGGTTCCAGGAATATGGTCCTTGGTGGAGGAAGTATGTCACTGGGGGTAGGCTTCCAGAGTTCACAGTCTCAATGCACTTACAGTGAGTTCTTTACCCAACATGTTTGTGGTTGGACGTGGTTTCAGCCTGCTACAGCAACCTGTTGCCACGCCTCCCCAGACATTATGGACTCTCCCTCTAGAACCATAAGCCCAAAGAACCGCTTTTGTATTTATCACAGCAACAGACAAGGAACTAATAAGTCCATATTGTGTTTGTGCAATCACACAGGCGCTCCGTGTCCATGACAAACAAGAAAGCGCAGTTACACAAGTAGAATGTCACATATCTTTTTCAGCATTTATAATTTTACACAATGATCAGAAGTCACACAGTCTAATACAATCCAGGATATTCAATAACTACTTGTGATCTATTTATTACTTCACTTCAGTTTCCTTCCTTTTCCTCCCCTAGCCCCCAAACTAGGGACATCTAAAATATACTGGATTTCCAACAGAATATAATAAAATCTGTACTATTCCTACTGCCTAGCTGAAGGGGCTTGACTGAGAACATACATGGTCTATTTGGTCAAGTCCTTTAAAAAAAATCATTCAAAACACATGACAACAGAAAAGGATATGGAATCATAAATTTCCGGTTGTGAAGGACTCTTGTTGCTGCTGCTTTGGCTTTTTGGATTTTGTTTATTTGGTTGGTTTTTTGTTTGTTTGTTTTCTTTTTTTCCAGACAGGATTTCTCTGTGTAGCCTTGGCTGTCCTGGAACTCACTCTGCAGACCAGGCTGGCCTTGAATGCACAGAGATCTACTTGCCTTTGCTTCTCGAGTGCTGGGATTAAATTCATGTGCCACCACCACCTAGCTTTGGGAAGGACTCTTAACAGTTCAATTCTATGGATTCATCTAAATGTTAACTCATTGAAAAGAAACAGGAGAACTCATTAAAAAGCTCTAAGAACAACACTTTCCACTCCCGATAAACCACCTCTCCAGGGCGGAATATGTCCACCTCTGGAATTGTAGACATGGCACTCAGAAGTCATAATTATCTAATTATCTATTTCCTTAAGTAATCCAGCCTTCAAATTCCTTGGGTCCTGCCCTTCACTATATATATATATATATATATATATATATATATATATGTGTGTGTGTGTGTGTGTGTGTGTGTGTGTACAAATATATATCCCTTTATATACAAAGATTTATATAGATATAGATATAACTTTTTTAAAAAGGAAAAGTATGATAGCACACAATAAAGTAAAAGAAAGGACCCAAATAAAAACAATTTACAGCTCCTTCCAAGAATATATAGTATCAGGCAAAACAGGTGCTGTCACTGAAAGATCTTTCAGAACAACTTTCTAAGTAACTGCAAGTGTCTCTGCTTTTGTGTATTTTAGAGATCACTGGGAAACAAGCCATGGCAACATAAACATGTTCTTAATATCCACGTTTATTTTTTAACAGGTCATTTCTTGATCTAATTTCTTTGTTAAATGATTAAGTCATAATAAAAAGTCAGAGATGTGATTATTCCAGAGGTTTCTTGTAACTAAAGTAAAAAAAGTTTAGATGATGACCTAAAACAAGAAACCTGCTTAAACATCACAGTCACTTTATTTTTTATACTGAACGTCTTCTGCCCAGCAATGGTTGTTCATATCACAGACTTTCAGCTTCTCAGCAGCTACAACTATTGACTCTACCACCTTAGAACAAGAACAGGAAAGAGCAGCTGCACAGCAGCCCGGGTGATGGAGGCTCTGGTCAGGAGTCTGCTGACTGGACCCGCCCTATTGGAACTCCTGCAAGTAGCCTGTGAAAATGTCAGCTTGGAGTCTTTTCTGGAGGGCAGGGTCCCTAGAGAGCCTGAGTGTTGGCCTGTTTGTCTTTTCACATGCTTTACAATCTCAAAGTCCTTCCTTGTGCACACTGACTGATGCCCAGGGACTGTTAGGACTGTGGGAACTTCAGTTTTCTCAAGAGAGACAACTTCATGGGAAACCTGTGCCCACTGCTTTTGCCTTCTCAAAGCTCAACAGATCAGTCAGTGTTGTAAAGGTGTATGTGTAGAGGGATGAAGCTGTGTGCCATTATATTTTTTTTTTAAAAAAAGAAATAATTGTGGAATCAGGAAGCAAAAAATTACCGGAATTATTGAAAACAAAATAAAAAACCCATCAAGTTATAAAATATCACTGGGGGAAACCTATATCTCATGAGGCTTAGAGATTCTCTAAGCCTCTACCTCTCTAAGCCTCTACCCTATAGAGACTCACAATGGTCATCTCAATGCATGTTTGCTAATGATATTTTTTAAAATACCTTGGTAGCCAGCAAGATGGTTCAGTTGGTCAAGGCACTTACTGCTGAGTCTGATGACCTGAGTTCAATCCTCAGAATCCATATTACATACAAATAAATAAATGAAAAAATTAAAAGTATCTTTATTTCTATCATTGGAGTGTCAATTTTCAACACCTTGGGAGAAACTGGCTAGCTGGCAGCCCAATCAGTATCTTAATTGCCCTGTCAAGATGATAGTGACTATTCCAATTGACAGCATGGCAGCCATCCAAACACTGGCAGGCTCTAAAGGTAGTCTGTGAGACCCAAAGGTGAGTGGCAAGTGAGACGACCCCCCTTTCCTTATTAAACACAAGGTCACACACCAACATTGTAAGACAGTGAATAAAGAATATTATCACTCTCAATGAAAACAGTAACATACACGACAAGAAAGGAACATCGATCCTTTGGACTTTAAAAACCAGGTGAAATGGTGCCTTTTAAACCGACAGACTGATGCCACCATTAACACACAACACACACTCGGCCAACCTCCGAGAGCACTGCAAGACCTAAAGTAGACATGTTATTTTAGAAAGAGCAGCAATCAAGGCAACTTCTCTTTCCTTCTGGCAATGAGGAGCATCTGACTAACAGAGCTCACATACATGTTTTATAACGTGATAAATGACTACTCTGGATCTATGGAAAATTCATCAACTGGCTGAGATGGAAGCATATTTATGGTTCTGCTGCTTAATGAAGAACACAAGACCAAAGTAAAATGACACAGAGGAGTGCATGACGTGATGAGAAAGGGCAGCAAGAGGGAAGCGTGTGGCTGAAGCTGCGGACAGACACTGCGATGGGGACACTGTGACACGCGTGCTTCTGGGACTTACCCGTGCTCACAGACTGAGCTGGCAGAGGAAGCTGGAGTCCTGACTCCCCAAAGACTATACTTCCTGTTAATAACAGTGAGGGCAGCAGTGAGGCAGGAGAGCCAAGAGCATGGTTAAAGGAGTTAGAAAACATTGGGTGTGACTGCTTGTTAGTTTAGATGATCATCAATTACCAACCTAAGAGAAAATTCTAATTCATTTGCTGTTCTCACTCATCATGTTGCTTTCTGTTACAATAGTGCCATGATACCGATATCTTAAAGTATGAGCTAAATGATACGAATAAAAGTACTCATGGGCTATGTTTCCCACTACCCTCCCGTCCACTTAACAATGTCTTCACATGTATGCCAGAGTCCAAGTTTCTGATGTCTCTTTTCCCTTCCTTGAGGCTCTCTGAGGGACAGCAACTCCTCCTTCACAAATTGGTTCATTATTCATCAGTCCAATGTCTAATAAAACATATAGTAGATTCTAATTATAAGAAAATCATCTCAATTTATGTAAAAAATATATTTCTTGAACTTAGTACCTAGAAAAACCTTTAAAAGTGTTTAGGTTAGGCATTTCTACATGTTATAATGATATGATTTCAATGGCAGCTTAAACCAAACTGCTAATTACTATTATACTCTAAATTATCTTGTTAATACTCATGTCTGTAAGAGATAGAATTTAAAAGCCAAGATAAATTACTCTGAATGAGGTGTCAGGGTGCTATAAGTGGGGTCTGTGGTCCTGTGAAACTGTGGGCCCCAGGAACCCCTAAAACACATATGGATGAGCATTACGAGCATTCTGGCCTTCTAGCTGCTGCACCAAATAAGACTCATGCCCAGGCCAGAGGTGTGGAAAAGAGTTCATCTCCTGCTTGCCCCCACAGGCATATACTACAAGGGTGTGTTCAGCAACACACTGAAGCAAACTAAATCCTTACCAACAACTGTCTGAAAAAGAAACCAGAGGAGAAAACAGAGGGCAGACAGGTTATAGGTGTCTACCGACATCGTGAAACAAAACAATGATTCACTAGGCGACTAGAGGCCGCTATGAAAGGGAGTGTGGTCTCACTCTGAGAGCTTATAAGGCTTTTTTTTCTTCTGACGGAGTCAGGAAGCACCCGACACAGCACCATCTTCTGCCACGACCATTGAAGAACCTCATTTAAGGAGCCACTCTAGAGTTTGGTTTTGGATTTATAATTGTGTCTAAGTCCTAAGGCTGATTGAAAAAAATTAAAAACTTGATAAGGAATATTAGAAATATACACTTATTTATTAGTCTGACTCCTGAAGAAAAATAAATAATCAAAATTCATCAGACTGTTTAGCGATGCCCTAAAGTGGCACAGTAAGCACTTTGGATCCTAAATGTCAACATGGAAGCGATTGAGGAGAGTCTCACAGAAATGACCACTGCTGTCCTCTCCTCACATCTCCACCACTGCACCAGGTCATGTGTAGTCTGAGGAGCGGAGTTTACTTGCGAACAATGTTTATTACCTTCGCACTTTTCCAAACACCTGGACCAACAGCTAATGAGGGTGGGGAATGCTCAGATAAAATGCAGACAACAGAGCAGCTGTGAACAGAAGCCACTATTCAGTAAGGTGAAGGCAAGCGGCTGCCCTTGGCTCAGTGCCACAGCCTGGAAAGTTCCATCTGTGTGGAACTAGATAAAGCCCCGTGCAGAGTCCAAAGTCAACAGCTCTCTGTATTTCCTTGTGTGCAACCAACTTTTGAATATATGATTTTCTCTCTAGTAAGGGGTCATTAGTGAACAGGAAGGTCTAAGTTTTTCAGTGTACAAATTTAATGGAAGGAAAAAAAAATCTCGAAAAAAAAAATTTCAGATGAGGCTGTAAGCTCAAGTCCCTAACTATGACTTGATGTCTCAATGTCTGAAAATGGAATGTCTCCTTACCAGGCTCCTACACGTGCTATTTCACAGTGAATGCTTCAGATGAAGCCGGTTGGGTTAGAGGTGGTAGGCCACAGTCAAAAGCTTTTCAGGAAAGGCAGGCGGCAGGCACTGACCTCACTGCTACTGGGTAACTGAAGGTGAGCCTGACGCTGTGTGAAGGGCAGTGAGTCTCACACCAACACATTCAAGATGCTCCCGGACAGTGAGCAGCTCTTTATCACAGCGGCTACATGGGCTGCTCTGCAGAAATGCTGGCAATGTCTGATACCTCTGCTCTAAAAAACAGAGCATCCAACAGTTCAGAGCTCTCCTTGAGTGTGGACGCAGGAAAGGGCTGCAGCTCTTTTGGGGAATGTCAAATTCCCTAGAGAATATCCACCTACACTGTCCTCCACCTGAGCTTTTCCTATTGAACACGAAAGGTCAACATAAATACAGAAATAACTGGTGTGTAGTGTGACAGCTGAAGCTTGGTGTTTCTGTGGATGGACTGATTTCATAAAGAAACAGGCTAGGTATCTACTTTCCTTTATAGGGTCCACCTCAATGATCGCCTTACTGAGATGTTACTAGCTATAATTTTAGCAACATTCAGACATAAAGAAAAGAATATAGTGTATTTGTGTTGAATATCTTCCATATTTACTCCAGGGTGGGAACATTCTGCCACTCAACTAAGCGAAAGATAAAAATATTTCTAAAAAATATAGGAGGGAAGATACTGGAATTACTACCTAAATGTGAGCCCATCTGCTCCCAGAGCTGAATTATAAGCTATGACGACATAATCCTCCTAATCCTCCTAATCAGACTTACTCTATATAATTTTCCCAACAGAAATGAATGCAGCATCCGTGAGAAAAGTTAAAGACTTAGGAAAAACAACAAAACATACAAGCAGGGACATATGCATATGATATTTTTATAGTGGTCACAGAATATTCAGCAAGAGGCTTTGAGACCAGTACCTCCATTCTGACATGATATAAACACAAGAACACAAAAAGCAAAAAAAAAAAAAAAAAGAACAACATACATGAAAATATCAAAGAAAGCAAGTTAGGGTCTAGCATCTATCTTTATTGCATGTATATATAATATATATACATTTATATATATATACATACATATATACACACATACACGTGTGTATTGCTCAAAACCCAGATTTCTTTTTATTTTTGTTTTAATTTGTTTTAATTGGACAAAATGACACATATTTATAAAATATATGTGCAATGGTGCTTTGAAATATGCACACTCTATGGGATAGTTAAATGAAGCCTTAAATCCCATTGTCTTTGTAGTGGGGGTGCTTAGATTGTTCTCCTAGAACTGTTCAGGAAGAACATACATCATTAAAACCATAGTCACCATACATAGCTCCAACTTCCTCCTCTCTCCTGATTCAGGTTTTTATCCCTTGACCCTTAACTCCCTAAAAACCTACATTTCTAATTGCATGTGCACAAAGATCACTTTCATACCCTGAAATGTGTATGGAAAGCAGGCAGATGCTATGAGCCTGGAATGTACGACAACGTTTCAAACTTCCTGTAGTCACCCCTTAGAAAAGGGAGCTAGCTCCTGCTTGAAACCTTAGATGATACCTCATTGTGAGATGATGGTCTTCATGGCTTAACACTGAACAGAAATTACTCTTGGGGAAAACACACTGGCTAAAAAACCTATGTTATTCAAAATTAATTTTAAGTTTATAGAAGCCCTATAGTGATAATCAAAAAAAAATCAATACATTACTTATTCCCAAGCTATAATCTTAAAGTACTACACTGTTGTTACAAAAACATGTTTTAGAACTACTTTTAAAAACAGTCAAATATTTCTGTCTCAGAAAGGACACTAGTAAAAGTTGTTGATTCTGGGGAAACAACCAGTAAGGAAAGGGCAGACTGGAGGCCAACATACTCTTCCTGTGTTCTCAGAACAGCTAAACAAGATGCATTTGGCTTGAAAACAGAACACAAAGTGGGTTTATTCTAAAACAGAAGTTCTGGTCTGCACAAGACTACACATGATAACAAATCAGACATAAATGATCATGTCACAAAGACCACGGATAGGAGACAACAGGAGAAAACCAGCCCTACTATTTCATGAGTGGTGCTTAAGATTCAGCATAGAATTCCAGTGTTGGATCACACGTGGATTTTAAAAGCTGCTGGAATTCAGAGTGATAGAAATGAAGGTGCAACCTGGAAATGACAGCTCAACAGACAAATATGGGCTGACAAAATGCTAATCACAGAGTCACACAGAGTCTGGGCAGGATGGCTTCAGTAACTATGAAAGCAGGACGAGCAAGACAAATGACTGCATTATTTCATAAAATAGAGCAGTCTTAGTAAATTAAACATTTTACCCTTTCATCTACCACCCTAATGACATATAGGAAGGGAGTTGTACTTCAGTGGTAGAGTGCTTGCCCAGCCTGGATAAGGTGCTGGGTTCCAAAATACCAAACTCTAAGTGTCTAAGGGGAGCTTACTCTATATGTGCACCTTATACTCAGACACCTGCCTGAGCATCTGTGAGAGAATGAACTACATGACTGTGGTGCACTGCTTTCTGTGCATTCCCTCCTCTGTTACACATGGCCAGCTTGTGATTTTACACCAAATACAACTCAAATCCCTAGGACATGAAACTGGTCTAGGGTACCATGCAACTTCATTTATTTAGTCATTTCTGAGTAAATATATTTGTCTCAGTGACTGTCCACAGTAAAGCCAGGCTCTTGGTGGTGTAGGAGGTTCTTCTATGTGTTGCTTTCATTGGTTGAATAAAGAAAGTGCCTTGGCCTTTTGATAGAGAAGCACTTAGGTAGACTGGGAAGAAGGGAGACAGAGAGCCGCCATGGAGCTGCCAGGTCAAACATGCTGAATCTTTCCCGGTAAGCCACGACCTTGTGGTGACATACAGTTTATTAGAAATGGGCTGAATCAAGATGTGAGAGTTAGCCAATAAGAGGCTAGAACTAATGGGCCCTCTCTCACTGCATCTCGGTGACAGAACGTCTAGAAAGCATCACTCAGGGCTCTTTCTGAACCAAGTCTATGTGTTGCCTAAATTAAGATGGCCAAGGGCAGAACCTAACAGTGAGAAGGCACAGCAAGCTCACCAAGCCTGTCCTTAGCCCGGAGAGGCCAGGGAGTGTGAATGGGATGTATTCAGGCCCTAGAAACCTCAGGGTGATAGGAAGCATTCTGCAGGAAAATCATTTTATTTCTTCTTACTTTTAAAACTGTAGTCTGAAAACATGTATTTGTAAAGGTGAACACATGAAAACTCTGACAGCAGGGTAAACCCACTTAGAGCTCTGGGTTCTGCCTTGGCATGATCAGCATGCTGTCTGAACATCAACTGTGTTTATATTTGAAGTGTATTACAGTATACTAGAACTAAGAGTATCTAGTCTGTCTTTACTAATAAGAACCATTTTCTGGAGACACTGGGCTGCCTCTGTCCTAAGAATTTGCCACACTGGTTAGAAAATGTTCACTCTGTATACAGGAATGAACTAGCTCCAAATAAAACCTAGCTTGTCCTGTGCCCATTAGTATAAAACCACTCAAGAAGTTCTTGCTTTCACTGAGATGGCTAATTCTCACCACCTCTGAAGTTAAGTTCTAATACACTGGGCATGGCAAAAGGGAGGAGGAGATCCTGGCCATCACCCACTTCTTTGGCATCAGCAACTGCACAATGCCTTTCCAGAAGTGGGCTTCCCACCCAATGGGCTAATCTAAGGCTGCCTTCTAAAGGCAGCACTGCCACCAACGGCAGTCACTAGTGACACAACAGAGAGGTAGGTGGCAAGTGAAATGTTGGACCTCTGGGAAAGTGTCCCCTGTGGGGATTGCCAAATGCAAATGATAAACCGTCACTCGCAACTGGAATTAAACAGCCCCACAAAGGGGGTGACCTCTAGATCAAAGTCCCACATGCAGCTGAAACACTCACCATTCTTCCGTTCATTCAGAGGGGGCAAATGCTGACTGGACTGTAGAGAGAGTTCCTGGAATTCGTGAGCCACAGCCTCACTTTGAGGACTTGGTGCAAGGTGGGCTAGAGGTCCCAGTTCTTCCTCTGTGTCTATGGCCCCTGTGTGATCCATTGTGCTCCAGCCACTGATGACAGAGAATATGGGACACCTCTTCTACGTGGCCTGTTGAAGAAACTGACAACATTTTTACAAAGTGTAAATTAAATGGCTTAAGTTTTCTCCAGCTTACACAAAAGACAGGCTCCTAGGTCCCACTAGTTCTATCGCTGCCTGTCTATTACCAACTCACCCGCTCTGCATCTCAGGTTCCTTGTCCAACTTACAGGAGTATGGTTCCTAGCTAAAAAGCATTTATAAATAAAAGCTAAAAGACATTTTACATACATTTTTTGTATCAAATATTAAATAAAAAATCTACCTACTAGTGTCATTTAAAGATTTCAACACGGCTGGGTGGTGGTGGTACACGCCTTTTATCCCAGCACTCAGCCCAGCCTGGGCTACAGAGCGAGCTCCAGGACAGGCACCAAAGCTACAGAGAAACCCTGTCTCAAAAAAAACAAAAAAAAAAAAACAAAAAAAAAAGAAAGAAAAAAAAAGAAAAGATTTCAATCCATGCTAAAATGAGAACAGAGACAACAAATACTAATTAAAATAAAGAAGTGGGGGCTGGAGAGATGGCTCAGAGGTTAAGAGCATTGCCTGCTCTTCCAAAGGTCCTGAGTTCAATTCCCAGTAACCACATGGTGGCTCACAACTATCTGTAATGGGGTCTGGTGCCCTCTTCTGGCCTGCAGGCATACACACAGATAGAATATTGTCTACATAATAAACAAACAAACAAATATTTAAAAAAAATAAAATAAAGAAGTGGGCTGTCTTGAAAGTCCATCTCAATGCCTTTATTCTGGGAGGCTCTGAATTAGTCAACAGTCACAAACTCCTTCATCAGCCTGGGTCTCAGAATGAACAAACATGAAACAAGGAAAACACAGTTCATAAGGGGAAGTTTTACTTTAGGTCACGGAGACATGGTTCTGTTTGTTACCATAGCAGAACTTGGACTGTGCAGACTACTGAGAAGCTGGTAGGGACATAATCAAAACACAATGAGAACCTCAAGCATGTGATACTAGTTAGGTGCTGCATCAGAAGTCAGGAGATGGCAGTCCATCCATGCCATGCAGTGGCAACCTACCTGCTGCAACTGTGGTCTGCTCAGACAGCAGCGCTCTCTGCACAGCCTGTCAGCTCCCTGTAGCTGAGAGGGCTGCAGTTCTGACTACGATATCACAGAAATTCTCCTACACATGAACCTGGATACACGCTTCCACTTCTCTCCCACATACTAGGAGTGGGGTGAGCAGACCACATGGCAGCAGTATATGTAGATTTTTAAGAAACTGAAAAAGGGTCTTCCACCCCTAGTATTAGGGTACCATATCCCAGTTGGTCCATTATTCTTGTTAATCCTTTAGAAGATTCTTTTCATTTTGAACATTTTAGAAGGCATAAGGTTTTCATGGTGCTTTCTTTTATTTTTAAAGATTTGTTTATTTTTATTTTATGTGCAGTTGGTATTTTGACTGCATGTATGTCTGTGTGAGGGTGTCAGATCCCCTGGAACTGGAATTACAGACAGTTATGAGCTGCCATGTGGGTGCTGGAAAATGAACCTGCGTCCTCTGGAAGAGCAACCAGTGCTCTTAACCCCTGAGCCATCTCTCCAGCTCTTTTAAAACTGTTTCCCTGGTGACTAATGATGCTGAACACCTTTTATGTACTTATTCCCCATTCCTTTATGTTCTTGGATTAAGTATCTGATGAAACCTGCTCAGTTTTAATAGTATGTAGTTTTTTTTTTTTAACAATTGAATCTTGGATCTTCTGTATATTCCAGACACAAGCACTTTGTAAATATGCTTCTGGCAACTGTTCTCTTCCAGTCAGACTGTTCCACTTTTGTGTTCATCAGTGTTTTATAAAAATTAGATACTTTTGATTTGGTAAGGTCCAATTTACATGTACTTTCTCTTATGTGTTATACTTTTGTTGCTGTAGCTAATAAATCTTAGATCACAGAACTTAACTCCTGTGTTTCCTTCTAGACACAGAAATAGTGGGGAATATTATCTTCAGGTGTGTTGTTTTTGTTTATGCTGCATTTCTTTAACTCTGTGAAGCTGTGATTCTTTGCCTGTATATAACACCTGATGGTCTAATAAAGAGCTGAATGGCCAATAGTGAGGCAGGAGCAAGGATAGGCAGGGCTGGCAGGCAGAGAGAATAAATGGAGAAATCTGGGAGAATGAGAGAAGGAGGACATCAGGGGCCAGCTACCCAGCCACCCAGCTACACAGCAAGCCATGAAGAAAGAAGTAAAAAAAAAAAAAGGTATACAGAAATAGAGAAAGATAAAAACTCAGAGGCAAAAGGTAAATGGGTTAACATAAGAAGCTGACTAGAAACAAAGAAAGCTAAGGCCAGACATTCATAGCTAAGAATAAGCCTCTGTGTATGATTTATTTGAGAGCTGGGTGGTAGGCCCCTCAAAATTCACACGACATAGAAAGACACCATATATCTAAATGCTAGATGCAAAGTTTTATATATGCACAAAATATGAATCACTATTGATGACTTATGGACATCTGACTGCTACAGCATCATTTGTAGAAAAGATCGCCTTCTCTACCAAGTTATCTTTGCATCTTTGTTGAAAGTCATTTAGCTTGTATAGTGTGGACATATCCCCTAGTTTTCAATTCAGTTCCTCAAAAAGGGTAAACTGTACCCCAGATCTCTGGGAGACCCGTAAGCACTACATGTGCAGGTGAGACTCTACAGAACATAGCTATGGCAATAACAACTAAACTGAGATGTGCCAGGTCAGCCAGCATATGGAAGATCGAACTTCACAAACAAGTGAGGCAAGGTTATATTTTCCCCAAGAGTCTTAAGAAGAATCAACCAAAATCTCAAGTCACTGAAAATAGCTGTAACAACAATGGTAATCCATCACCAGCAGATGGGCACAGAGATGCTCCAAGACTCATACAGAACAAAGAAAAGGCACAGCAGGCAGAAACATCTTAGGAGCGAAGGAGAATATGCAAGTAATGAACTAAGACTGGTTTTACTTCTTAATTTCGTCACTATTAAGATCAATGCAAAAGTTATAGCATCTTGGCATGGGGCTTGCAGGTGAAATCCATGTGACAATTTTAGCATAAAGGATGAAGGAGGCAAATGCAATGAACGTCTTTACATTTCTATAGACCTTAAGTAAATTCTTTAAAAAGACTGACTGGGAAGTTACGGCAGAATTCCAAAATAACTGTACACAACAATATAAATAATATAAATAGCTGAAATACTGATAGGGGAAATTAATGGTATTCTAAAAAATACCCAATGAACTCCCAAAAGACAGGGAGGATGGTGAGAAGAAGAAAGATGAGGCAAACACAAACAATAAAATAGTAGGCCTTACCCAATATTCTAACAATCATATTATGTTTAAAGGGGCTAAACACTTTAATCAAAAGAGAGGATGACAATGTTAGATTTTTTTAAAATCCAAAAATATATGTTCAGAACACTCTTAAAGAAGGAAAAGTATGATTCTGGTAGAGGTAAATGACCACTAAGGAGAAGCCAAGAAGATGGTGAAGACTACACACTGCTATCACACAATGTTGACTTCAACGGTTCCAGTAGGTAGATAAATTTGCAGGCAAAATACCTTATTTTACTAAAAAACATTAAAATACTACTCAAAGATTTTCAACACTGCATTTTCATTTTGAATTATTTATTTCTAGAAAATAAAATCTGTTCATGCCAAAATATTTCAAAGACACAATTATTATGATGCGCTTAGAATGACAAGACGTACAAAACCTGAACATCAGTGGTACTGATCCAGAGGGTCCTTTAGACAGAGATTTTAAAATATTTTCAATGCAGTATCACCTGTTTCTAATACTGAAAGACCTTTTTTTTTTTTAAACTTATGCCTTGACACTGTACTCACCTGAAACTCCCACACACTTCCAAATTGAGAAAATTATAAGCTAAGTAAATCTTTACAAAATGTAGCAAAGGGAAAAGAATAGGTTTTCAAAAAAATTAACTTAATATTCATGAACATTTTTGGTAGGGCATGGAATGCATTCTGAAATTTGCAGAATGTCATAGTAAAGTCTACTTAAGTGCTTGACAATTCCTTTTGAAAATGAAACCCAACACCTATTATAAACAACACTCTGATGTCTAACACTGAGCCACTGTGGGATGGGAAGAAGGAGCATTAGCACAGATTGTCTCACTGGGTCAGAACTGAACTAGAGGGCAGTGGCACCCGAGTGACGAGGGAGCTTATTCCTTACAAAATCTAGCAAGAAAAACATTCCAGACCTAGGCCAGAGTGGGCCTGAAGAAGCAAGCTCCACGGGAGCGGGAACAGACCAAGCAAGTCCAGGGACATTGGTGGACCAGGACTGAGCCAGTGACCTGGGCCAGAGCAGACCTGAGACAGCAAACTCCACCCAAAAGGTACAGAGAAGCTACCGCTGAGCGAGTGAGCCAGAGCCAGAGATGGCTGAGGGTCCGGACGTGAATCTGGGACTTTGAACACAATGGCACAGGAGACCATTTCCTAAATATAATCCCAGAAGCACAGGTAGTGACAGAAACAATTAATAAGTGGGACCCCTTGAAACCGACAAGCTTCTGTAAAGCAAAGGACACAGTAAACAAGATATCTTACAATTCAGGATATGTAAACCCAATAATCCCTTTACTCCTCAGGTTGCTTTTGGTCCTGGTATCCATCACAGCAAAAGAAACCCTAACTAAGACAAAAGGTCTTCCAGGGTCTCATGGGATGCTCATCTTTGGAGGAGATGAGATACCCTGTAAGCCAGCTGACTGCCCTGAGGCTGCCACACCATGAGGAAGTCACAAAGACATCACATAAAGCAGTTCTGAGATGACATAGAGAGACAAGAGAAAAGTCTACACAAAAATTTGCAGGTAAATGTTCATAGCAGCATCACTCTGATTCACCAAGAACCACTAACAAACTTGTCAGGTAGTGAACGGTGCACAGTGTAAGGTATGCAATGGATTCTGCTCAAAACAAGAAAGGAAGAAATCCTGACGCACGTGGA